TCGTTATTCGCAAGACAGCCCAATTTTTTTTTATCTCTCTTTACCTTGATAATGAACAAGCAATTAGAAAATCGCACTGGGTCTCTGGAGATGTGGATATAAAGAAGAATATATCGCATTTTGTGGAAACATAACGTAACATTACATAACATAAGATAACCCTTGACCCATTAGGGTCGTGGAGGTGTATTGATGAAAGCACTATCACATAAAACCCGCCATCTTTCTCTGTCTTCCGCTTGATGAATAATTATTCCTGTCCATTTCTTGATGTTGTCATTCCAGGATCTTCTTTGCACTCCTCTTCTTCGACTAACCCCCATTTTTTCTTGAAGTACAGTCTTTGTAATCGAATCATGTCTCAATACGTCTCCAAACCAAGATAGCTTGCGACGTTTCACCACTGCCAAAAATAGCTCCTGATGTCCCGCAAATGTGTACATTTTGTCTCTGAAATATTTATTAGTTTTGTATTCTAAATAACTAATTCGTAAAATGCAAACATTATGGAAACAAAAACATTTAACTACAGAGGTTCTAAAGAGAATGGGAATGAAAAATGAGATTCTGGAGGAAATATACAAGAGGAATAGTTCGACCACAATAAAAGAAAATATCTATAAAAATCAAACTCCAGGAGGAGACAAAAAGTTGAAAGCTTACGAGCTACGGCTGAAAATGTCTGGCAGCAATTAGATTATATATTGTGACTGGTCACGTTACTTAACGGGGCTGCGTGGTCTCGAGGCGTGGTGTCCGCCTTGAGTGCTAGAGGTTCTGGGTTTAATCCCCGGTAAGGGCTGGGATTTTTTCACAAAATTTTGACTTCTAGTAATTTCCGTTTGTCTCCGGATAGTGAGATCGGACGCCCCGTGTGCCTTGTCGCACACGTAAGATATCCCTTGGCAGTTGGAAATCGAAAAAGTTAGCCTAACGGTGCTGCCCGGGCAAAATTTAAAGTTAAAAATCTACCCCAAAGTATTTTAGGATCCTCGACGATGCTACAGAGTCTGTGCATTGTGCTGAGTTTTTGGGACTTTAGATAAAAGAAGAACGGAGCGCTTATGGGTTACTAGTCGTGTGTCATGATGTTGATCCGTTGTTCAAACTCATTTAAACCCCTCTTCTAGTTTTCGGGCACAATATGGGGAGCGCTCTATGTAATGGCGAAGGATAGAACAACTTGTCGTGAGTTGGTTGAGGGTCTATGCTTCATTGGGAGATGGAAAGGCAGAAAAAGACAAGAGTCGCAGCGGAAAAGAGACTGGGGCCCTGTCACGAAATATACCCAAAGACAGCAATGGATACGCTTAGCCAACCTCCATTGTGAAGATGGTACCTAATTCTTTGTTGTATTGTTCACCTCAGGTTGATATATACGGCTCCTGTGGGACTTTAACGTGTTCAAGGACGGATGGCGATAAATGTTTTGAGATGCTAAACACCGACTATAAGTTTTATCTGTCATTTGAAAACTCCAACTGCAGGGATTATATCACGGAAAAATTCTTCGTAAATGGTTTAAAGTAAGTATTCGACTATTTTGTACATTGATAATTATGTATTATTTGAACATAGAAGACACAAACAATAGACTGCACAATTTATTGCCTGGCATATTTCGCTGTATCTCATCAGGTGCATACTACAGTAACAATTAATTAAAATGAAGCAAATAACTGAATCCTAGAAACTGAATCACAAATTCGAGTACATTTCAAACTGTTTCACCAAGGTAAGCGTAGGGCAACGACCATTTCTTTTTGCCTACATAGTTCCTTTTATATGACCGACTCAATCCTGGTGGTTTTAAATCTAATAACAGGCATGGCTGAGTAAAGGTTTGACGGACTGCTGTTTTGAGTCGGGGTTGGGGCGATGTAGGGGGAAATAGACCCACTGTTTCATAAGATGTCGACTAATTAGGGGTGTTTCCTTCGAAGTGAGTGCATCCCCCTAAGGTAAAAACTAGCAGTCTGTGACAAATAATCCAGATCTGTAAAACGGATGTGCACGCAAAACTCAAGTTATGGAACAAGTCCAGAAGAGGACAACATCTAAAACTTTCCGGTGGAGTTTACAGCTGGTGAAGGCGAAAAAAAAATTGCTGTCCAATTCTCCATCCTTGGCGAAAACACTGACAAGCTACTAAAACTCCTTAGCCTGTTTTTAAATCTTTCCTCTAACAGTATTAATATGTTGAAAGGGTGATTCGTTTACTGTGTTGATTTATTTTGTTTTCATTGTGTATTATAATAATACATTTCTTGCAACACTTATAACATATAATAAGGCCGTGGGCGTGTCGATCAAAAGGTTATGGAGTTGGTGGCACAATGGTACCTACAGGTCTCATTTGATTGGGAACCACTGGAATTCGTCATCTGACAAGGCACACAACAATGAATGGGCCAGTGCAGCGCGGATTTTTTGTTTTTTGTTTTTAGTATCCAGAAGCCATGAGTTGTTAACCCTTAAGGGCATGCACAGCACAAGGAATGGAGAAAGCAATAAAAGAGGATCGTTGCGCTTCCCAGACGACTCCGTCAAGCATGACCAAAGATAACTGCTGCGATTGTTTCCGACTCCATGAACATGCTTTGAAAAATCTCAACAGGTAGTTAAGTCTCCGATTGGATAGTTAACATTTGAAAGTCGCAGTTAACCGCCACCATCTGGATCTACACACCCGGGCACGCAGGAGTAAATGGTAATGAAAGAACTGGCCAGCTTGCAAGTAATGCAGCAATGCAAAAATATCAGTTATAAGACGAAGAAGAATGCGATATTTTCGGCACATCATGAGGAGGAATGAGAAACAGAAACATCAAGTAGGCACTGAAATGGGAATCACATGCAATAAGGAAACGATGAGGTTCAAGAGAAACCTTAAAGGGAAATTTGCAGGGAGAGACAAAAGGTGATGCACCGGTTTCCATTTGTAATATTCAGAGGATTGCATAAGCTAGAACTGAATGGAAGACTAGGTTGCTAGCTATATGCGACATAATGGCACAGCATGATAAGGATGTCTATAAGGTTCACTGCTTTCTTCTCAGGAACTAAATCACCTCTGATATTAGGCATGTATAGCTTGCCTATTTATGATCTCTGCATCACAAGCAACTAGCAGTACAAGTTTGATAACGTTACAGACTTCCTACTACAACCCCTCCTCCTGCTGTTGCTGCTATTCCTTCTTCTTCTTCTTTATCTTATTTTTCTTCTTCTTCCTCTTCTTGTTCTTTTTCTTCTTCTTCTTCTTCTTCTTCTTCTTCTTCTTCTTCTTCTTCTTCTTCTTCTTCTTCGTCTTCTTCTTCTTCTTCTTCTTCTTCTTCTTCTTCTTCTTCTTCTTCTTCTTCTTCTTCTTCTTCTTCTTCTTCGTCTTCTTCGTCTTCTTCTGCGTTGTTTCTCTTGGCGTTCACCAGTTGTGAACCTGGATGATCAGTTCTGTTTCTCTTGGCGTTCACCAGCTGTGAACCTGGATGATCAGTTCTGTTTCTCTTGGCGTTCACCAGTTGTGAACCTGGATGATAAGTTCTGTTTCTCTTGGCGTTCACCAGTTGTGAACCTGGATGATCAGTTCTGTTTCTCCGCACACTTCGCTATATTAGATTTGTTCCAGCACTTGAGATGCATTCGGTTTACATACCTGGTTTTTTTTTATGTAGACTCCCCCCCCCCCCACCCCCACCCCCTGGCAGATGCACTCCAACCTCTAACGAAACGCCCCTAATTAGTCGTGGTTTACCACACACACAATCACACCACACAATGGGGTTCAAGGACACACTCCAGGATTTTGACATGATAGTAATAAATACTTGTATGAATCCACCCATCCATCCACAGACAATACTTGTATGAATCCACCCATCTATCCACAGACAATACTTGTATGAATCCACCCATCCATCCACAGACAATACTTGTATGAATCCACCCATCCATCCACAGACAATACTTGTATGAATTTACCCATCCATCCACAGACAATACTTGTATGAATCCACCCATCCATCCACAGACAATACTTGTATGAATCCACCCATCCATCCACAGACAATACTTGTATGAATCCACCCATCCATCCACAGACAATACTTGTATGAATCCACCCATCCATCCACAGACAATACTTGTATGAATCCACCCATCCATCCACAGACAATACTTGTATGAATCCACCCATCCATCCAGAGACAATAATTGTATTAATCCACACATCCATCCACAGACAATACTTGTATTAATCCACCAATCCATCCACAGACACGATGTGATACCAATTGTAATGGGCGCTGCCCCTGAAGATTATGAAAGAGCAGCACCTCCACACAGCTACATACATGTGGATGAATTCGAGTCTCCGCGAGAATTAGCCGAGTACCTGCTTAAACTGGATAAACATGATGCCCTGTACAACGAATATTTCCAGTAAGTTCAGTCTCTTAGTTGTGTATCCTTCACAGGACGTTGCAGAACCAATGTCAACATTTGTTGGATGCTGTGGTTTTCTAGACAAATTGTACGTTGAGTAGTTTGATACTGCTTACTAAACAGCCAGCTTTCGGAACCACTGTCGAAACCAACGCAAGACGCTCTGCTGCCAAATCACCCGCAGCTGTGATTGAACTTAGCAGCCTGGCATTACGAAATACGTTCTTAACGCGTAAGCCACAGAATGTAAGATCAGTACAAAAGTAAAAATAGAAAAGGCTTCATTTAATACCTGAGGTGTTTTGGATGTAAGGTTACTTTGTGTGCTTGTTGTACTAGGTCGGACAATTAAGGAATGAGTAATTTTATTATGACCAAGACAAAAAAAAATGTCATCTATGAATCAAAGCTTTGAATCTGAAGAGGCAACCTTCGTCTATGATCTGGCAACTTTTCATTGCCGCCTTATAAGCAGACAACAAACAAGCCACCATTTTGTTAACCTAGTTAGAGGTGCATTGTTTCGTAATCAACAAGGAGCAAAAAAGCTGACATTAAATTCCGTTCAAAAGTCAGAAAAGGCGCCATTGCGACAGTTGAGTTGATGCGACAAGTTTATGGAGATAATTGTTGAACTCGTTCACAGATTTCAATGCACAAGAGGCTTATTTTGAATAAAATACAGTTTATATCTTCAACTGTTGTTGTTTTTAATTTTTATGGAATTGGTCTCAATAATTAATTGTCGGACCTTGTATATACTGACATCTTAGCACATCGGTACGATCAATTTGTGCTCCGTCCTCCAACGAAGCAGCCATCTATCTCAACGTCTCCATTCAGTAGGATTTGATCTGGTATATCTGGGTTGTTTTGTTTGCTTTTGCCCGGACACCACTTTCCATAAGCTTGTTCTCGCTAAATACCAGTTTGCATTAGGTGGCTCATAATCTGTGACTCCGTCTAATATTCTTTAGAAGGCGGCCCATTCCGTATCTCTGCCCTGTGCCTGCTTTCTTCTCCGCTAACTACTGCAAGTACTGCAGTTGCTAATCGCTCAGCTCTTACATCTCCCTGCACCCCGCAGATCTTGATGTGTAGTACAGCCAATATGTTTTCGTAAATTTGGACTTAAGAGTGCTATTAACCCATTCTAGTCAGAGTATGTCAGCTTGGATCGTTTTGAGCATCCTAATTAAGTATGTTTATAAATATGTTGTGAGGGTGTTTAACTGATCATTCACACTCTTGACATCACACCTATTGCTTTTACTTCCAAAATTATTTCCTGGTACTTATTTAAGGCTGGGTCGATCTGGTCATTTGTGAAAATAATATCCATGGAAGTTGAATCTTCTTCTTTTTTTTTCCTCTCTCTTTTTCTTCTTGTTCTTCTTCTTGTTCTTCTTCTTCTTCCTCTACAACTTCTTCTTCTACTACTACTACTCTAATTACTACTACTACTACTACTACTGCTGCTTCTACTACTACTACTTCTGCTTCTACTACTACTACAACTCAGGGCCGGATTAGGATCCTTTGTTGCCCGAAGCACTTAAACGATTTTGGTGTGCCACCCCCCCCCCCCTTCCCCGCTGAGACATGTTAACAGTTTCATGGACCTATACGCAAACCAAAGTGCTGAAGCCAAAACGATAGCCACTCAGAAGAATGGAATGTACATGATCACTTGACATACACAGATTAGCATGGGGCCTCTAAGCTTGTAGGGCTGCGGGTAAGCGCCCAGGGTACCCATATGTTAAAACTACACTCTTATCCCATAAATGTGCACGCACGTGTCGTCATTGTAACTGACTCACAGAGCGTGGTGGGAAAGGTGGAGACAAGCATGCTCCGCGTGCAGAGTGGCAAGCAGAGGTCCAGGGTAGTTAGCATCCTTTGGATATTTTCTTCAGGGGGTGTGAGCAGGCTGATAGACTGGCCACTTGGTGCTGAACTGATGTATGAAAAGCTGGATGTTGTGAGGGCCCTTTTAGAGCGAGTGAACAGTTTCCAAGGAACAGGTAGATCATTACGGTCTGATGAGAATGGCACTGCGAGGAGTTACAAGGGAATCTGGCCGTCTCGACACTCAGGGGAAAGGCGAGACGGATATACAATTAGGCAGTTTCTGGTACCATTGGAATTTTAACTTTTCATTTGCTGCTGAAGATGGAGACGGAGCGCTTATGGGGGTGTCCTGAGTGCTGTGATGTCGATTTCTAGTTTAACATTCAACATATATGTAACTCAAAACATAAACAATAATAAACCAGAAAATAAAATGTTATTTATCGAAATTCAACAACACTTATACTAAGATGTAAAATATTTTATATTTTTATGTACTTCCACTTCATTTGTATTTGAAAAGTTTTCTTCTATTGTTTTTAATTGAAAAGTCGCTGATAGGTGCTAAGACTAATTATATGTGCCTCTATACTTAATAAAGATAGTTATAAGTTATCCCCATGTGGGATGCACTTTTTCGTTTCTTTAATATAGCCGAGAAATAAATATGGCCTAACGGTTGAAAGGGGTTTCTGGGACCTCTCCACGGGTGATCCTCAACCACATGGTGGCAATTTGTGTCAACGGGTGTTTATCGCTTGTGTGATGTCCTGGTAGTGTACAACAAGAGAGAGGGGAGAGAGAGAGAGATAAGATAAGATAAGGTAGCCAGTCTTCCTTGTTACATTGGTGTTTTTTTCTTATATATCTACACACACACATACACTAGAGCCCCCTCCCCCCCCCACCCCCCCCCCCCAACACACACACATTTCAACCGAGACAATAAACGCCCAGCTCCAAGGTTATTGAAAATATATATGGTGCCGCTCATTTTGTGATACCCTAAGCAGATGCTTACTGTGCTTAAAGGTTATTGTGGCTCTGCCACTAATACTACTAACAGCACTATTACTTCTGTTACTACTAATACAACCACTACTGCTATTACTATACTACTACCACCAGTACAACTACCACTAGTACTACTATCCCACTACTACTACTACTGCTACTACTATCCCACTACTATTACTACTACTACTACTACTACTACTACTACTACTACTACTACTACTACTACTACTACTACTACTACTACTACTACTACTACTACTACTACTACTACTACTACTACTACTACTGCTGCTGCTGCTGCTGCTACCGCACGTAACCTCAAGATTTGGGTAGGCCAAGGAAAAAGAAGAAAAAGAAGATAAATACACACCCATGTTCAGATATATATATTTCTTTTCTTTTCTTTTTGAACAGATGGAAAGGAACAGGGGAGCTAATCAACACTTTTTTCTGGTGCAGAGTGTGTGCCCTTGCTCATGATGAGGACAGAGGGCAGTCCTGGTACCGAGATATAGAGGCATGGTGGAACGGTGACGATATATGCATTGGAGAAAGGACTTGGAGAGGTGTCAAGCGAACTAAGAAATTGATAGCAGACTTGCCTATTGTTCTTCCCCCAAATCAGTGATGACAGATGACACTTGTTTGTGCTATTTTCAAGATAAGGTTGCTCATTTGTTTCTGTCCGCTATGCATTCATTGATGACAAAAGATTGGCAAATATAAAATTAAGTAGGCCTAACGTATTTAACCATACTCCGGTAATTTTTTTCCTGCCAGGGCCGGATTTAGACTTTATAAGGGCCTAAGCCAGGGCCTTTCAACTAAACTACTTTTTCTTTTTTTTCTTTGCTTTTACCAGCTGTAAACTCTGGTGGAAAGTTCTGGTTGTTCGTCCACTTCTAGACTGCAGTCGTGTACAAGAACCTGAGTGTTGCGTGTGCATCCATTTGACCAATCTGACGTAATTATGTGCAGACTGTTGGTTCCTTAATTCTCAGGCAGATGCACTCCAACTTTGAAGGAAGCTCCCAATTAGTCGACTCTTACGACATGTTTTTTGGTAGGAAGTGGGTCTATTCTTGTTTTCCCTATAATAGGGCCCCATAACCTACACGGGGGTCAACTAAACTGACTTAGGGGCCAAAATGATCAACATATGAATCATTGCGGGTGATTGACCTGAACCCCAGCATTGAAATATAAGTAGTACAGTACAGTTAGCAGGTGATCTGCCAGCCACTTACAAGACCTTGCAGGCAATATTTGGCCTACGTGCTGTTTGTTAAAAAGCACTGGCCTGAACTTTGTGTACTTATAGATAAAAGCTGCTAAGTACTGACAAAAAATGAATAAAAAGAGACTTCGTTAGGCGGGGACTAGAAACAAATATTCTAGCCCAGACATGAAATCTTTTGTGTAAAATCGAATCAGCAAAGCAACAAATAAACTAAGCAAACTAACCACAAGTCCTAACCTGAATCAAAACCACTGGAACTATGATTACCACATTCAGCATCTGTTTATTTCACTGAATATAAGCTAGGTTCTCCAGAAATAATAATGCAATAAAATTTACGACGTGTTCGAAAATACCCTTCAACAGATGGAACCTATCCCTGCCTACACACCTCAACCGGCCTAGCGCTAAACCCTAGAACGCAACAGAAAAATCAGAACTACATGTTACTCGTCCGAACGTATTTCACACAAGGCTCAATAATATATGAACAGATCTACAGCTAAACCTGATACAGAGACAGAGTGACAATTAAACTTACCCAAAGCTTAGTTTGCAAAGTAAAGAAACCACACCTAGTATTGCACAAACCACACCGCAAACAATAGGCACATCTTGATCAGCTAATCTTTCTGTACACCACTAATTAACTCCTCCTTGTCTGCTAAGAGGCGCAGTTTATTCTTCTGTCTGCTGGTCAACACATATTGTGGTCGTGAATTAGTGGGAGTGCGGAGAATGACATAAATTTCGTCTCACCACGCTTTATTTGTATCTTCTTCTTTTTGTTCCAATTTTAAATTGACTTTAAACCCGATCAGGTATCTGACATTTTTAACGGTTTGTGTAGTCGACTGTTTATTAATAGAAAGATAGACACTGTGTACAACTGATTGACCATAACTGAATTGTCATAGTTCTGTTTTTGGTTTGATGAAACATCACTGGGAGCTTGCAAAACTTTTCTTTCTCTGTCTCCCGCTCGTGTGTTTAGACGGCACGCCACTCTGACTGCAGCCATGTTTATCACCGGGTCTCTCACCCAAAACTACACAAGCGGTTTCGTTTAACTCTGCAGGGGGCACGACTTGAGCGGGGCCCTGTGGGCTCTAAGGCCACACTTGGTGAGTTTTGTTAGCCGCTTCTTGTCTCTGCACCTTAATAGGGTGCCTAACTTCGCCGACTGTTGTTTTCCTTTGACAGGTATTCATTAAATGGGATGATGACTGACAGAGGCATCGTTTACGCCGTTTCTTGTGTTGTAATAAAACAGCTAAATGTTAAGTCATTTGCTTCATTGCTTCAAATTATTATAACATGCGCATTTAATTATGGATTAAGAATGCATTCTGACCAAAACTAAAACTATCTCCATAATTTGTTTCTTTTGTAGCAGAATCTGTTGTCCTCCTTTAGTCCCTTTTTGCTACGTTAGGGGTGGGGGAGGGGGTGTCTTGTCAGATACTTGGTCTTGAAATAAATTTCAGAGGGGCGTGGGGATCTTACCACATACTCTAAAAGGCCGTGGGGGTCTTGTAATATACTCAAGGGGCGTGCGACCTGGAAACAATGTTGGATTTAGATCAATTACAAATGCAGGACCCCCCCCCCCCCCCAAAAAAAAAAAAATTAAAAAAATGTGGAGGTGTTATGTTCCTGCTGGCCTGGCAGCTGAAATTTGACCTGTCAAGTCACTTTATGGTCATCTCGATATTACAGGTAATGGAACGATTCTTTTTTTAAACTATTAGTGTTGAAGTTTCAGTTTGAAAACTATGATTCATGTGCTATAACAATAGTACATTAGGAGGAACTACATACATTTTTTGGGAGTGCTTTTTCCTTCTCTACGCTATAACTACAATTGCCCAATCGAGTGATGGAACACCACCCCAGAAGAGCCTCGTGTGACGTTCTTGTGTGTCTGTGAGTGTTGGAACCTCATTGGAGGTTAAGAGGCGCCTACTGTAACTCTAATCTGGATCAGCTATTAAAGTGGTACGTCTGCTCATGCACATGATTGTGCTGTGTCTTAGTTTTTGACAAATTCGTAATCAATTTGATTTTTTTTTTTTTTTTTTTTTTTTTTTTTTTTGTTTTTTTTGTTTTTTTTTTTTGAGGTGTCTCCATCAGAAACAAATAGTTACACAACAGAACATACAGCTAAAAGGATAGACACATGATTGAAAAGATATTCAGTTACACAGTCACCGCTAGTAGCTGTTTTGCTTGAAAGTTGTTATATTTTTAGTCGACAAGCAATCCCCCCCCCCTCCTCCTTTATCTTCCTCTCATTTTCTCTCTCACATACATACACAACATAATAATACCCTGCCCACCCACGGAACAGGTTGTATAGAAACTCACCAATGGTACTTTTCGGTAACATGCGCACACAGAAAACCGCCCCCCCCCCCTCCTTTCCTCCCCACTATATATCGCGGCCACCTACACCGACCCTGTGACTGAAACAAAAATGACAAAAAGATCTAATAGGGAGGTGCTTCACCTACCCATCTGGAGGTGGATACCTTTTTTCCTCTATTTTTCCCGGTAGACGTGGTTTAACAAAGCGTAAAGAAAGAAAAAGCCAGAAAAAATATATGGATTTTCTCCTTATCTACTACGTATAACTACGTGAAGTTGGCCAATTCTGTGTCCACATTTCATGTGCCATCAACTGTATGCAAATGTCAAATTTTAGACACGCGTTTTCCATACACAACCATATGTCAGTGTCTGATTTCTGAACCTATATTTCCTATGTATAGAACAACTGTTTCTGCCTGTTCTCATACATTCGCTATAGGGAACACAATTTTGTAACTATTATTTTCAAGTCCCCCACCTGAGCTGTCTTCCGGAGCCATAAATATAACCCAAGGGTTGAACGGGGTTTCTAGGACTTACGCCCGGGTGATTCTCCTCTGAATGGTGGCACTTTGTGTCACCGGGTGTTTGTCGCTTGTCGTGCGGACCTGGTGGGGTTGAAAGTCAGTCAGTCAGTTCATCGGCTGTAGACTTCGACGAATAGTTCTAATTGTTCGTTCACTTTTGAACAATGGTTTTACACCAGAACTTATACTGGTTTATTTGTATGCAGACTGTTTGTTCCTTGTCTCTCAAGCAGATGCACTCTAACGACGAAGAAAATATTCCTAATTTGTCGCCTTTTACGACATTCTTGTGGATTGTAGGGTCCCATAACTCATATAGGAGGCATATAAGTATGAATAAATAATTATGAATGGGTCTTTAGACCGGCTTTTTATGCAAATTAAAATATGGAGGTGACCAACTTTATGTCGTGTTTCCCATGCATATAGATTTATGAAGGTGACTACCGGTAATTTTATGCTCATGTCTCTGATGCATTTAAGTATATGGAGATTACCAAGTCTGTTGGCAAGTATTATATGCATATACATTTATGGAGATAACCAATATTTTGTCCGTGTTTTACTATGCATATAAATTTACGAAGGTGACTACGATTAATCTTATGCCGATCTCTCTTATGCATTTAAGTATACGGAGATTACCAAGTCTGCGCCCATGTTCTCTACGCAGATAAATATACAGAGATGACCAACTTTATGACTATGTTATTCTATGCATAAAAATTTACTGAGATAACCAGCTTTATATCCGTGCTTTCTATGCTTATAAATGTATGGAGATTATCAATTTTACGACTATATTATTCTATGCTTAATTTTTTTTAATGACCAACTGTATGCCCGTGTTTTCTATGCATATAAATTTACGGAAATTACCAATTTATTTCCGAGTTTTCTATGCATATAAATTTACAGAGACGACTAACTTTATCCCCACTTTATACAGTGATTTCTATTCATTTCAATACATGATGACCAATCACATGTTGTTTTCCCACACACAAATACACTTAACACACGTGCAGATAAGCAATCCTATGTTTCTATATACACAAAGATTATCAGATATATATATATATATATATATATATATATATATATATATATATATATATATATATATATATATATATATATTCTCACACACAGACTGGTATTCCATTTTAAAATGGTTATTCTAAATTCATGTTAACGATTTTGGAATGCATCATGGGGAATTTACTGAGGTCAAACATTTGTGATTGTCATTTACAATATCCATTTCACACTTTCGATTGTTTTTCCACTTCACATCAGTTCTTGTGGTAATTCACACTGAAATAAACCGAGAAAATACCGGCTGTGCTTCCAGTTTTACAATGGTTGTGATCGTAATTTACAGTGATTTCCATGAATTTACTACATTGATGTTGTTGTAATTCAGAGTGAGATCGATTGATATACTGATGGTTGCACTGACTGGTTTAATAATATACGCAGGTATAATGT